TGGATCAAATGTGGCTTCTAGTGTGAATTGCACAGTTGCGCAATTGCGTTCTGGAACTGAGGCGGATCAAATGTGGCTTATAGTGTGAATTGCAAAGTTGCGCAATTGCGTTCCGGAACTTAGCTGGATCAAATGTGGCTTCAAGTGTGAATTGCACAGTTGCACAATTTCCAAGAGCTCTTTTCAGTGGATTCAGTGGATGCACACAGACTGTTGGTGGCTAATAGTGTGTATTGCGCAGCTGTATTCCAGAACTGAGTCAGATCAAATGTTCCAAGAAATCAATTTCATCTGGGTAAATTCTCACAATCCTCTCATTTAACATGCAACTAGATGTTTAACTGCAATATACATTTAATGCTTCTTGGAAACAGGGTTCCCCCTTGGTGGGGGACGCATCACACATGAAGGGCCAGTAAACAAAGGCATATAAATTGAGCATCAGATTATTTTGCTAAAATTTAAGAGAAGTTACTCTTACCTTAAAATAGAAGTGACCACAGAGGTCTGGGTCACGAAGTGGATGAGCAGTGGACTGCTTTAATCCAAGATGATACAAAGGCATAGGATCAAGTCTCTCCAAAGGAGGTCCCTTCAGATCACTAAAAAGAAGTGAGGAGAGTGAGGAGTTAACTTTGTATGAGCTAGGCTTTCCTTGGCCACCACATAGACAGGTCTGAATAAAACTGTTTTTCTTGAATTAATCCACTCCTCAGATAAATGCATGCCAAGTGCGTTGTCTGACAGCAGAAGACCCTTTGCATCTCTGCATATTGTGAATGCCAAGTTTCCATTCTTAACGAAAGGCCATGGGTATCGTTTTGAACCCACAGTTTTAAGATTGAACCCAATATTAGTAAGTAAAGTTTTCTCTTGGGCATCTTCGTTGCTTTACAGTAATTTATATAGAAAAACTAATGTCACTGGACATTTTCTCTGCAAATTCACTGTGCCTTTTTTTTTAAGAAAACAACCATGAGTTATTAGTTTGTCTGCTTGTTAGGCAAAAATCTAAAGACGAAATGTTGCCTACTTTTGGAACCATGCCGCCATGTCCTTGATCAGTAACAGCATTAAGTCGCTAAGCTATTTCTATGGCAACAACACACTCAAAACACAAATAAAAATGTAATTTATACTGGAAAAAAGTGACAGATATAAATAGGAAATTTCTTAAATTGTCTGTCTCCATATTTCAGAGACCCCCCAAAATTTCACAAAATGGTCTCTTTAGGGGAGCTTGTGCCTTGCTCAGCTAAGCTCCCCTGTAATTTGCACCGTGCTTGGAACCCAAACCCTACTTTGACCTGAAATACACCCTCATTCTAACACCATTTTACAGCCTTTTTCAGCTGACTGACAATTTGACTAGATAAGATACATTATCGGAGAACATACACTACCAAGAGCATTTTTCAGTGGATTTGATTGTTTTTGAATTTTTGTGATTTGGGGAACATTCTCACAGAACAGTAGACTGGAGTGCTTCAGCAACAGATTGTAAGATTGCTCTGCTGAAACCCCAGCTAGGGTTAGGGTAAGCATTTCCATACTAGACATCTGTGATGCTCAGAAGTGACCACAGAGGTCTGGGCTCAGCTGTCAGCTGTGTAAGCCAAAGCCGTAAGAAAAGAAACATTTTAGGTAGGTTTCATAGCTAGAAACAGTAACATACAATCAGGTTGCACACAAAACTAATAATCCTAATGCAGGTGTCAAAAACTTTAAGACAAGTGAAAATTTGTCCCCTTCTACAATTCCCCAATCAATTTTATTTAACTTTGAAACTTTGTAAATAGATATTCAGCTTCTTCCTGCCATGACTTGAGTGCCCATGTGGGAATCCCTCAATTAAAAGTAAAAATTGGAATTCGATTTTTATAAATATAAAGCAATAAAAATGCAGTACTAATTATAAGTCTCTGTGCTCGTCGAGCAACAGTTATTTATGTACAGTACATAATGTTTGTGACTTCTCATGAATATGTATGCTTTGTTTGTTATTTTCATTGTGCACTCAAACACACTAGCACTGTTATCATTCCTACTCAACTGCTGATAAACTATTAAACTGGAGTATACTAGTTCATTTTCTTTTGTGAAATTTTGACATGTTTAATGTAGGCATTTACATTCAAAATGGGGAATTATATTCTATACCCCATCTAGAAGGATGGTACAATTGTCTAAATTATATGTACAGGAATAAGTTAACCTAACTGTCAGGGGCAGAAGATGTTCAACACTGCTGTAGGGGAACCTAAATTACTCTTAGATTTGGAGCTTCAAAATACATGAAGGAGTATTTAAATCAACAGCAATGAGTTTGTGTAATGATTCCATGTACAACCCTGATATGTGAAATTACCTCTAAATTTAAAATGTCTTTTAAATTAAAAAAAAACTCCTAAATTAAGCACACAGGCTGCTCAGTCACTACTTTCCCAATCAACTCTGAATGACTATTTTCTTTATTGAAAGGAAATCCATTTTACTGTATATATGACTGTACTTTGCTTAGTAAAAACAAGAAACATCAGTTAAATAGCAGACGTTATATATATATATTCATTCATACATACATCTTCATCCATGTAAGCAACCAGTGCAAATCAGGACACCAGTCCATTGCAGGACAGACACTTAGACACAAACACCAACATGCACACTGTCAATTCTTCCAGAAGGCAATTAACCTACTAGCACGTGTTTGGACTACGGGTGGAAACCAGAGCACCTGGAGAAACCCTGGCCAACACTGGGAGAGCATGCAATATCCACACAGATAGCACCCCACAGTCCCAGTGCAGCAAAGCCAACCACTGTGTCGCCATGCTGCTAGATGTCATATACAGCATACATTTGATTATATTAGTTAACAAAAATACCAGAACATAGCTGTCTAAATATCTAAACTTTCCCAATAATATAATAATGTAAAATTACAGAATGTTGTGATGTTCAGGGAGAGGTAACAAAACAGGTTGCCTCATTGTCAACTGATTGACATTAACTATTTAAAATGAAAGAGGTGATTTAAGGGGTTCCAATAGAGCCAGTGATTGAGCTGTGATTTTCTAGGGCCAACAGCAGCCATCTCTTTTCTAGTTTACATTACAAGTGACTTGAGAAGCAATAACTGGGAAAACAAAAGATAGTAGTGAAGCGAATCAAGCCAAACAAAAGCCAGAGAAAGACAAGCTGTCAATTTTAAACTAATGCTGTTTCACCATGGAGTAGACTGTGCTGTACTTGACTCTTCTATGCATGGCCTGGCTGCTGTTGTTAAGTGCTTTGGTATCTCTTGAGATGAGAAGAGGTGCATGAATGTAAGTTTGTTTTTAGAATTCCAGTTGTTCTACCCCACATTGGGCTCTTGCTTATCTATTTCCTGATTCAATGTATTCAATCACACTGTTAAGTGTGCAATCCTGTTGTTTTTCAGTACATTGTTACCTATTTGTGTACGACATATGCAATACATTTTATTAAACTGGCTCTCTTGATGTGCGACCGTAGAAAATGTCTCAATTTCGCCAGATAGCTTTTTTGTTTGTTTTGTGGACTTATCAAATAGAGCAGGTTAATGCTCAGTTTTATTAGTAGAATAATTTGGCAAGGAAATACAGATGGTAAATTAAATGCTCTCTGCATTATATGAAATATGGAGTGTCCATTGTGCTCTTCATTTAGTGACACATTGAGCGAGCACAACTGCAATACTGGCTCTTTACACACAGTATTGTCTGAAAACAAATCCAAGAATTATTTTTGTATCTGTGGAGAGGAAATGAAAATTGTGTAACTATGTTATGACTCAGGATTCCTTGTAGGCAGAAAGACAGTGTATCAATGCCCATCACCCCGTTACTTCTGCATTAATAGGAGCTGTCAAACCCTTTCTGATTTATTGGGGTTGGAGACAGACAAACCACATTGCATGTCGACTCAAAAGGGAGATAAGCCCTTAAATTACAATGCAGTGCCAGCGAAGGAGAGACATGCTATCATATACCTTAATACACTTACAGAGAGGTTTTTATCATACCCTTTAGAAAAGGCCACTTCATCAGCAAACTCTTAAACTGGTATCTTGGTAAAAATTGAAAACAAAACATCAGGGATGTTAACTGTAAAAACTTTAATATAGAAGATTGTTAAATTTAAGGGCATTTTCTTTATTTGCATCACTGGCAATATGTCACTTGAGTTTATGAGCAACAGGTAACTAAAAAATAAACTAAAATGTGAGTTTAACAAAATCTTCATCACCTCTAAAGGTTCCCTGAACACAAGTTCCCGAAAACAGAACTAAAGCAGTAGAAACACTGTTACTATTACACAAGATTAGGGCCCTGGGCTTAATTCCCACAGTGCTATCTGCACAGGGCTTGTACGGTGTGCTCTCCCCATGATTGCATGGGTCTCTTTCATGTGCTCTGGTTTCCTCCCACAGTCCATCTCTTTACTTTGAAATGCAGCTTTAATTTGATTTATTGCCAAACCTAGATCTCCTCTAGAATTAAGAAGCCCCCCTACAGACAAGCATTTTCTTTACTCTGATAAAGGTTACATATTTTAAAATTACAATTTGTTCAATCATGTATTTACAGAAACCTAACTCTCCCCTACAATTGTTTTTTTTTAATTTGTAATATCTTCTGAGTATAAGTTCTGAGTATAGGGATTTGACTGATTTTCAGTATTGTCATGTTATGAAAGCAAGATATGTCATAATATTTAAATTACTGGGATCTGTAACCAAAAACATAACTGTACACAAAAGTGTGTATAGGTAACCTAATTGCTCAGTATGTATAAACAAGCATCATTATGAATTATTCATTTATGAGACATAAAATGCAGCCAAAGGACTCTCTGAAAACACTAGACTTTTTTATCAAACAGAAACAAAATGTGAATATTGCATTCTGCACATGTAGATCGTTTAGTTTAATTGGAAATGAATGGAAAGCACCTACAGAATTGTTGTCTGAAGTGAAAATTAGAATTTAAAACATTTTTGAGATTCTTTCCTTTGCAGTGAGCATTTCCTTTTTGACATGTATTCTGAAACATACTGTATTATTTTTGCTTGTGTAAGGTAACTTCATTCATATATTTTTATGCAGTATATCAAAAAAACAGTAGTGGAGAAATAGAAACTCCCTATACTCTCACAGACTTGAATGCTGTGTCTCCCTTGTTAAACCTTTCAAATTTAAAAAACTTACAGCTGTGTCATATAATTTGTACGGCATTGGTGAGTATTCTTTCCTGTTCTCATGGGGTTACAAAACTGTGCCATTGTAATCATGCAGGGAAAGAGAAAATACCTAGTTTGGGAGTTACCCCAGCTAGCTGTGCACTCATATTTGTAGTAGATTCCTTGGCCATATCTACATGTTTAACAGATGTTAAAAAGCTGTTTTACTGACAGGAAGCTTACAGACAATGTGATTTGTTTCAGTTTACTTGGGTTTTGATTGGAATAAATCTGCTTTCATTTTTTTTCTCTTGCTACATTTAGTAGTTTTCAGGTCCCTTGGGGAAAAATACCTTATTGTTGATATTCATCTCAGATTACGTGAAAAATGTTCAC